ACAGAGTGGGTGGTGGCCTGGAGCTCCTCCTCCCACCCCGCCCTCCTTTCCTAGGTGCTGGCCTCATCTCCTGCTCCCCATGAACCAGTTGAGGCCAGAAGGCACATTTCTTTCCCAGGGGCAGGGGGTAGGGCAGGGCCCAGACTGGAGAAGGCTGAAGGGGCAACGGACACATCATAGGTGCTGCGTCCCTGCAGCCACTGACCTCAACTCAAGGACTTCCAGAACTACCTTGAGTGGATGGCTCATTTCTGCTGCCTGTAGGCTCCTGACCACAGGGTAGGGACTGAATGGGCCCCAGGGAAGGAAGGGGTCAGACCCCAGCAGACCGGGCCAGGTCCACAAGAAACCAAGGCAGAGCAGCCCTCACCCTGTGGTTGGGCACCTTCCTTGTGCATTTGTCACAGATCTGAGGCCTAGGCAACTGAGGGAGGGGCTGGGGCCACCGAGGTGCAGGCCCATGCTGCCGCGGGGACTTTCTGTCCTCAGTTAGTTACCTCTGGTGCTCTCTCCGCCCTCTGGCCCTGGCCGCTTCCCTGCTCACCTACCTCTGTCCACGGCCCTCCTCAAGGACCCCAAAGTGCCCCACCCTGAAACACCAGAGCAGGCCAGGGCTCCTAGACCATTTCTTGGGAACATTTCCCATTGCATATGGGGAAAAGGGGGGCTCCAGAGAGGATGCCTCATCCACTACAACCCCTTCAGCTACTCCTCTGAGGACGCTGAAGGCCAGACCTTTGTTTTAGGCCTGGGCCACTCATGGTTGCTGGCCAGCCAGTCCGAGCTGACCATGTAGCCCCTGCCTCGGTGATCCCACAGATCCTGGTCTACCTTCAAAACTGGCCCACACCATCCCCCCGCTCTTCTACCCCCAAACCACCCCCAGTCAAGCCACAGACATCTCTCACCTAAAATGTGGGTCCCTTTTGCCCACTGCCATTCTGCTGAGCACCTGAAAGCCCAAATTTGACCACGTCCCCCCACCCTGGCCTGAGGATAAGGGCTCAACTGAGCCTGGCATTCCAGGCCCCCAGTCCAATCACAGCTGCTTCTCCAGCGTCTCCACCCCTCTCCATCTGAGTCACATCCTCCGGTCCCGGCCTCTGTCCACCCTATGCCCCACTGCCGTCTGTGACTTGGGCTTTTAGTACCTAAGCAGGAGCCTGCCGGCCTCTTCATGACCATCACCTGGATTGACCCTCCCAGAACCGGGGTGGGCCCCTCACACTCTGCACACCCTGGCTTTCTGTCCCTAGAACCACACCCACGGCCTGTCCAGCAGGTCCAGGCTGGGCTGGATTCAGGGCTGTGGCAGTCAAGGTAGACTTCCCGGCTCTGGGAGAGCATGAGGGGTCTCTAAAGCATAGTACTAGGGAGGGATAGGGGTATCTGCCTGTCCCGCCTCTGACCTGGGCCCCACGGCTTCCGGCTGCAGTGCTGGGGGGTATGGGAGTCCCTGCAGGGGTCGGGACAGTGGTGGCAGTGCTGAATGCCAAGGGGTCTAGAGCTGGGAGAGGCGGCTGTGGTGCCTGGGCTTCCCACACTCCTCGCCTAGCTCCTCCCCCCTTTCCCAGCTCCAAGCAGGAATGTTGGGCAGGGCCAGTCCAGTCCCTAACTTGAAGGGGCCAGGGCCCCATGACGGCAGGTCAGGAGCAGCCGCGCTCCTCCCCAGGCCCTGGGGCTCAGGTGTAAGTGGTGCCAAGGCCATGTGGGCCAGGGAGCAAGCTGTGGGGAGGGGGAGGTCAGTGACCCCAGGAGGAGGGAACACTCATGATCACGTCTGCAGGGGCCCCCAGTTTATGCCCGACCAGCCTTGAGGGCACTCAGTACTGGGGGTGGGGAGCTCCCAAGGGCTACTTAGGCCCAAACAGTCCCTGGGTGGGCATGGAACGGCCACTTCGGCAGGAGGTACCCCAGGGGGGCTGAGGGCAGGCGGCTGTGGCATGGATGGGTGGGTGGGGGTGCTGTCTGTCGGGGGACAGGAACGACTGAGCTGCTGGACATCGTGCTGCCCCTCTACCTGCTTGCCCTGCCCCAGGCCTGACACCAGCCCTGGCTTGCCCCGAGGGGACACCCAGACCTTGCTTCAAACCCCGACCCCACCCCGTCACCTCCTCTCGCCAGTTCATAATGGTGCAATACACAGAAATGCCTCAACCACCACCTGGCATCCCGTGCGCCTCCAGTCACCCACCCCAGCACAAGCTCTAGGTCAGGTCTCCAGCCTCCCCTCATGTCTCAGCCCTCCTTCCCCTCCGGATGGCCCAGCCGAAGGGCACTCCTCGCTGTCCCCACACCCACAGGTCTGCAAACGCTTTGCCCTCCATGCTTCCTCTGCCTGAATGCTCCCCAGAGCCGGCACCTTTTGGAGACCCAGCCCTGTCTGGTACTTCAGAGGAAAGGGCTGCCAAGTCCAATCAGTGGTTGAGGGCCCAGGTTCCGGAGTCCAGCCCTGGTTCTCAGACTCAGTAGCTTGTTACTTACCATTAATCTCTCTGTGCTTCAGCTGCCCCTTGAAATCCATCCCTCCACACCTGCTTCACAGGTAAAGCTCCTCCAAACCACACCCCGCCCCCCAGCATGAGAGAAGGTGAGTGGGAGCTCCCTCCCCAAATCCAAGGGCTCTGCTTTCCCAAGCCCCTGGCATCCTAGGGCGACACTAACGTTCTCTGCACCACTTCCATGAGTGACCAATGAGTAGCAGACCTTGGTTCACTGGCAGAGCTAAGGTCTCAGGGGCGGCTGCCCCAGGCAGGTGGAAAGGTGTGGGTGGTCCCCAGGTTAGAGCGAGGAGCAGGGTAAGGAGCTCCAAAGTGGGTGACCCCACCTGGTCAGAACTGCCTGGGTCGTAGCGAGCACCCCACTTCCAGGGCCAGGCAAGCAGAAATGGGACAGGGTGGGGCGGGGTCTCATCAGGATAACTTCTTTCAGGCCCGGGGGTCTCCCCACTCAGCGTCAGGAGGGGGATGGCAATGTCAAGCCAAAGGTGGCTTCTGGCTATACCAGGGTGCCTGGAGGTCAGATTTGGGAGGACCTCAGGTCAAAGAAGGAAGCAGGAAGATGGGGACTTTGCCAGAGGCAGGGGCAACTGAGTCACAGTGGTGCAAGCGCCCAGGTGGCTGGGCCAGTCTCTCCCCCTTACCTGGGGACGGGGTCTTGCAAGGGGTGGACCTTCTGGTCTCCATAATGCCCCCCAGGGCTTAACCTTCCCCTTGTCCTAGCACTATGGAAACCAAGAATTCCCTTCCAGGGTCCCCATAGTAACCGACCCTGTTTCCATGGGGACCCCACACTTCCACATCAGCTCCCCAGTTGCCATAACAACTCCAGGGATTACCAGCACCTCCCCCCCAAGCCTGGGCTCTGTGCTAGTCTCCCCATCACCTCAGTCCTGCCCCCTTCAGTTGCCTTGGTAATAAACGCAGGGAAGAGGAAACCCTGGTTGCTCCTCTGAGGTACAGGCACTAAGGAGGCTATTCTACCTCCCTTTTTCCCGTTTCAAGAGGGTAAACTGAGGCACGGGGAGGCATATGACCAGCTAAGGTCCCAGAGGGAGCAGAGGGCCTGACCAGGTTTCCATGAGGCAACAGAGCTCATCAGTCAGGGTGAGGGACCAGGGAGGGGTGGGCAGAGCAAGGTCAACTCCAGCTCTGACCTGACCTCCCTGGAACCCTGAGTCCTCGATGGCAGAACTGAAGAGTTCAGCCTGGGCTGCCCACCTGGAACCTGAATGTCTGTCCTGTCCTTACCTTTGTGGCCCTGAGTGCCCCCGGCGTCAGGTCCCCCAGCACTCCCTTTCACTGGGGGGCTGTTGAGCAACACTTCGCTCCAGCCCAAAGAGGGGCTGCTCGTTTGCATGTTACTGTGCGTAACTTTTACATGCTGCCTAGCGGCCAGCCTGCTGGGTGCTGCTCCCAGTTCTCTTCTCCTTGCCCCGCTCCTAGCCCTCCCTGGGGAAGCCCCGCCCATCGCCCAGCCCCCCCCCCCCCCACCTCCTGACAACTGACCTCTCCAGGTGCTTGCTCCTGGGCTTCCTATCCCCTCTGCCCACAAGGCCCGAACCCAGCCTCCTGTGGCGCGGCCGGTCCCTGCTGTGGGGCCTGCGTCCTGCATCCAGCCACTCAGCTGATACCCAAGGGGCCTCTCGAAATGTGGGGTGTGGGGAAACTGCCAAGCAGCAAGCACAGTGAGGGTGAAAATGGGGACCTGCCTGAGCTGAGGTCCAGCTTGGTCAGGGGGACAGGAGACAACAGACCCCTCAAACGGGAGAGAGAAGGCTCCACGCTAGAGGCAACTGTTTGTGCCATCCCAGGGTGCAGACCCACCAGAGGCCTCCTGCCCACAGGACTAGACCTTTCCTGGGCAATGGAACACAGGAGGAAGACCGGGTTGGAGCTCTGATGGACTCTACCCCAAACGTGTCCCATGACCTTGGTATGATCCTGCCTTGGTTTCCCCACCAGGGCCCCGAGGGGCTCAGACTAAGTGATGTCCAGGGGCAGTCTGGCCCTCCTTCCTCCCTCGGAGGCCACCTGCAGCCACCTTCCCCATTTGTGGCCCCCAGCTGAGCAGGGCCCACAGAGGGAGGGGGGCGGGCGGGTCTGAACCTGGGGTCTGTGAGGAGAAAGGAAGGGCAGAAAGGGGGTGCTCCCTTGGGCGGGCCTAGACCCACAACTGGGAAAACAGGTTTGCCAGCTGATGTCAGCTCTCTCAGCTGAGGGGAGGGGCACGGTTGTTGGGAGAAACTTCTGGCTGGGTGGCTGGCCAACTCAGGGGTCGCTTGACACCCTCTATCAGTTCAACCTCTTCCCTTATCTTCCTCCCTCCCCCAAGCACACCCACACAATAGGTCCCTAGCAGGGCTCAAAGTAGCATAGCCACCACTCCCTGGGAGCCCAGCATGGAGGGGTGGCGACCTGTTCCGGGAGCAGGAGCAGGACCAAGTGGGCAGGAAGGCAGTGCTGGGAGGTTGGCCGAGCTTCCGGTTCATACTCACATCCTGGATTTGTTTGCCAGGCCCTAGGCCGCCCCTTGACTGCCCAGGCCTCTGGGGCTCCAACCAGCCGGCCCGTGCCCCAGACCCGCCCTGGTGAGGTGAGGAGCTGGATGGGGAGAGGGAACTCAGCCGAAATGAGTGCTAACCCCCTGCTGAGGGAATGGGGAGGGGGGCTGGCCACTTGCAGAGCTCAGCTGCAGAGGGCAGGAGGAGGCAACCATGCTCTGCTGGAGGTCCAGTCCTGGGAGACCGCAGTCCCCCAGCAGCACTGACGTTAACATCCCTTGGACTCATTACCTGGTTCGAGCCCCCCTTCACCTGGTCACAGGTGAAAAAATTGAGGACTGAGAATCTGCCCACAGCCATCTGGGCAATCAGAGGCATGAGGGCCAGGGACGGGTTTCCTTCTGAATCTTTTCCCTTCACAAGGACCAACCCTTGGAGATGTAGACAGAGAGGCCTGGGTGAGGGGACCCAGTGGGGCCAGGGAAGCAGGAGTTTTCTCTGGCCCGGACAAGCCAGACGGGCTACCCCTCTGCAGAGTCTAGGCCACCCTGAGGTCAGGGCTGTGCCGAATTTACAGATAGAGAAGTAGAGGCTCAGAGGTGTAAAGAGCTTGCCTTGGGTCACACCAAAGAGGGACTCTACACACGCTGCCTCCTACCAGGGGCCTGGATCTCTCACCACCGGAGTGGACTCAAGAAGCCGCAGTCCTTATGGCCTGGATTCCAGGTCCCTAGGGCCCCAGACCCAGCCTGCAGTCCTAGGAGACAGCCGGCCAGCCTCTTCACAGAGGGCCAGCTGATCTAGTCATGAACTTCCCCACAGTGACGAGATCAGGGGCACACAATAGTCCATTGTGCCCAGGGTACACCTGAGCCAGGAGCATGATGCCAGGCAGGTGCAGGGAGGGAGGTCGAAGCTAGGTGAAGAGGAGGGGGGTGTTACCCTGGGACGCCTCCCTGCTGTGAAAGCAGAAGGAAAGTGGGAGCCTATGTGCGTGAGACACAGAGTTTGGGGGACATGAGGTTCTCAGCTCTGACAGGACACCTGGGTCAGAGTCACTCCCTTCACCTTCAGAGGCCACAGGAGGTAGTCTCTGAGACAGGACAGGGAGGTCAGGAGGAAAGGGCCTCCCTCCATCCCTTTCAAACATCCCTCCTACCTCACCTGCCCTATTCCCTCCCTCCTGCATCCAAGGCAGATCTTTTCTTCTGGCTGGACCCCCAGGTCTACCCAGGGGTGGGGAAGGGGCCTCCTCGGCTCAGGGTCAGGGAGGAGCTCATCACTGCCAGCGCACTGATGCGGCGTAGTCTGAGTTGACTCAAATTGGACCAAAGTAGGGACGCCCCCTACCTCTCCCCGCCCCCCGCCTGCTGACAGCCCCCAGCCCCCAGCCCACTCAGACCCTTCGGCCATGACCACCCAATAGGGCCGCGCCCACAGGAGAGTCAAGCCCAAATGCAAACTAAGCCTTCCTGCCCCTCCCAACCCAACAAGGTCTCTCATTTATTTTCCGAGCCTCAGTTTCTCCACCTGGAAAAGGGGGAGGTGTCCGGCCGCCTCGATCCGGGCCCCTCTCCTCATCAGGCGCGACCGAGGTTGCGCGGTCCCCACCCGAGTGGCTCTCTGAGGTGCACTCCCGCCGGGATCATCCCCCAGGTAGAAGCGCCAGAGGCACCGGCGGGCCGGGGCCGGTGCACACGTGTGTGCGGGGCCCGAATCCGCCCCGCGCGAGCGCGCATCTACGCGGCCCCGGGAACGCGGGGCGCAGGTGCAGCGGGCGCGGGGCGCGCGGAGCTGGGGGCACAGCGGGAGCGGCGCGGGGCGGGCTCACCTGAGCGTAGTAGAGCAGCCACAGCTCGTACAGCCGCTCCGAGGCGGCCATGGCCCGGCCCGGCTCCGGCCCTGCTGCGCGCCACCTGCCGCCGCCGCCTCCTCCGCGCCGCCCGCCGGTTGCCCTCGGCCAGGCCCATGGGCGGAGGGCGTCACTCCGGGGCGGAGCGGCGCGGTACTACTCGGGGAAGTAGTACTGGCCCCCGCCGCGCTGAGCCACCCAAGTCTGCACGCTCCTCCTCCTCGCGGCCGGCCGCCGCCCGGCTTCCTGCACTTAGCTGCCGCTACCACCGCCCCGCCTCTCCCGGGACCGTGCAAAGGGCGGGGAGCCCGGAGGGAGGAGGGGCTTGAGGTCAGGGCGGCCCGGGAGGGCGCCCCGCAGTCCCGCCCTCAGCAGTCCGCGCCCCCGACGGCGCCTCGGGAAGGGCCAATCTGAGCCTCCCGGACGAGGGTCGGGGTCAGGTATTCCAGGCTTGCCCGCTGCACAGTGCGCCTGCCTGGAATTTGCCACCCTTCGTGCAAGGATGGGGTCTCCGTCGCCAGGTGGGGGGGCAGGGGCTGCGGGCCCGCGTTCAGATGGCCAGAGTCCTTCAACAAATGGTAACGACAACCAGCGGCCACCTGTAGAGTTTACCACGTGCCTGGTGCTGTTCTAAGCGTTTTAATGCAGAGGCCGACTGCCACGTTTTTGCTCCTACTGTTTGTGGAGCAGGATGGGGGACATCAGAGAGCAGTGCCCTTCGTCTGTCCTGCAGATCCCTGGGAGATTTAGGCAATCCTCACGGGTCCCCTCTTCCAAGAAGCCTCCCAGATGCTCCAGTAGAGGCATCATCCACTCTAGGGCCCAGCATTTGTCTTCACATCTTTTGTTTTCCTTAACCTCAAGAGGATAAAGGCAAGAGGATGTCTCATGCCTCAGTTTTACAGATGGAGAAATTGAAGCCCAGATGGGCCAAATGAGAATCACTTGGGTAATTGGGGACAGCATGGACGGGGATGGAGGCCTGACTGACTCTTTGCTGGCCCACTGCCACCATCACCCCTCCATCTCTCCCTGCCCCCCCCAACCAGCCTGTCTGGGAGGTGAGGAGCCCCCCTGGTGTTGGGCAGGGGTCAGGCCCTGTGTTGGAGTTGGGGAGAAGTTTGTGGAGCCCAGAAAGGTACTATAAGTTAGAGGAACTGGAGTCTGGAGTCCCTCAGACCTTGGCCAAGAGAAAACAGACTCTTTCCCCATTCCCATCCTTTTCCGTCCTCCTGACTTTTTCTTGGGCAGCCTCTCCACTCTGGCCTTTTTTCTTGCCCTGTCCATCCTACCTCTGAGCTGACATTTCCTGAGCACCTACTACCTGGTACTACCTGTGATCCTGGTACAGTTTCTGGTAAGTCACCCCTCCGGATGCAGGGGAACAGGGCACAGAAAGGCCCCGGCTAGTGAGGTCAAAAGGGTCGTTTTGGAGGGGTTGGACAGAGGTCTTATGGCACAGGGGCCTCTGAAGGGAAGTGGGAGGAGTGGGCATCCACCTGCTACCAGCCTGGGAAGGGAGGCCCCAAGCAGGAAACAGCTTTGCTGAGAGATGAGTCATGGTATGTGTTGGGGGGAGGGAGGCCTCTGTGTGGCTTTGGGGACCTTGACATCCTGTCAGAAGGTCTTAACTTCAGCCAGAGTGGTCTCCTGGTTGTCGGGGCATGCTGGTTAACGCAGGAAAGAAGACCCTGGCAGGCCCTGCCGGCGAGCAGTGCACTCTTGCCACCTGTTGCAGTCAAGGCCAAATCAACTCTCAGTAGTTCTCAGAAACTAAGCTCAGGGGATTCCTGGGGCCCACTGGGCCCAGGTTGGGGGTTTGTTCTTCTCCAGTTTAGGTAGTTTGACCCAGAGTACTTTGCTGCTTCAGGGGGCTTGGAGGTGGGAGGGGATCATCCATGAGCCTGGAGGAAATGGCCATCCAGCCAAGCCCTGCACCGCACAGGCTTTATCTGAGCTGAGAGTGGACACAGAGGGCCTAGGGGCCCATGAACCAGTGCATCCAGGGAGTCACTGGTACCTGTAGAGGAAGAAAGGCAGATCTTTTATTAAACTGGGATCGGAGTGGAGGGTCAGGGAAGACTTCTTGCAAGCATTCAGGCCTTGAAGAATCAGGACAAGGGGACAAGGTTGGGCCAAGCGCATTCCAAGCGGCCCGTAGGGAAGTGAGCTGTGGTTGGCGCTTGCTTAGGCAAAAGCAGAGCGATCGACGCGCTCTATCCTCCTTCACTCAGGTCTGATTCCACTCGCACCTTCTCACTGATTGGCATTGGACGAATCGAGCCTTACGGCCTTTTTCTTTGCCGCGCCCTCCCCCAACAGGCGAGGCGAGTTGCTGGGAAAGGTAGGGCGGGCCCTCCTATAGCAACTCAGTATTGATTGGCTTTCACGATTTCCTGTTCTCTAGTTCTCGTCCCTGGATTGGCCGCCAGAGATTCATCTACTCCCTGGGCCTGCGCGATGCAGGACGAGAGAAGAGGAGGGTGGGCAAGATGGCGGCTACTGCGGCTGGTGTGGGCCGGCTAGAGGAGGAGGCGTTGCGGCGAAAGGAACGGCTGAAAGCCCTTCGGGAAAAAACCGGGCGAAAGGTGAGGAACGCAGAGTGAGGACTGTGCCTGAGGTAGCCAGTGTTCGGATACAGAACAGGAACGAGACGACAGGGGACTACTAGGAAAAGGCAGCTGCTGAGGACGCGCATGCGCGCGCGGGTGGCGCTTGCGCGAGGAGTCGGAGCCCGCCCACCAAGTGTGCTTGCTGGCTGGGAGTCTTTTGGCGCTGGTGCCGTCGCCGCGCATGCACGGGGCGGGATGGGCAGTGGTTAGCGCGTTACGCGTTTTTTGCCTACCATCTGGTGTTTCGCCAGTGAGCGCCCTGAATCACCCCCTTTCCCCACGACCCAGCCGGCCTTCCAACCTGGTGAAATTCAGTGCATCTGGCAGACCCTCCCCTGTCCTCCAGCGCGCCTTGGGCAGGGCAGTACGGGACGGTGCTCTGAGCGCCCAGCCGGCAAAAGTCCAGAAGAAAGGCCCATTTCTAGGTCAGGGTGCACCTCAGGGAAGGAGGAGGGCGCTTAGTTCTTCCCAGGCTACTTCTCTGGGGATGGACCTCCTAGTCCTATTAGTTACCAAACTTGGAAGCATCTTCCTTGCTTTTGTTTGACACCAAAATGGTCCGATTCCATTTCCACCTCTTTGATCTGTCCGAGTAGTCAAGAGGAAGGAGAACTCTGAAGTTCATTACCTGTGTGCAAACCCTGGCCCTGTCACTTGGGGCTGTGGGACTTGGGATAAATTACTTCATCTCCTTGAGCCTGTTTCTTCATGTCTGCAATGGAGGATAACAACCCCTCTATATTAATTCTCACTGGGTTATTTTGAGATCTGACAGGGTCATCTGTGAAAGGGCACTAGAGACCACAGAGGGTGGAGCTTGTCAGTTCTGCTCTTGTTGGATGAGCAAAAACTATTAATTCTACAAAATATAAAGGATAGTAAATATCTAGACCTTCGATGAATGGGGGAAAACAGGGACTCAACTTTCCACCTTTATTTATTTATTTATTTATTTTTTTAAGATTTTATTTATTTATTTGAGACGGAGAGAATGAGAGAGAGAGAGCACATGAGAGGGGGGAGGGTCAGAGGGAGAAGCGGGCTCCCTGCCGAGCTGGGAGCCCAATGCGGGACTCCATCCAGGGACTCCAGGATCATGACCTGAGCCGAAAGCAGTGGCTTAACCAACTGAGCCACCCAGGCGCCCTACTTACCACCTTTAAAGAGGCTGGTCAATCTGGCCCCTGTTTCCTTTCTGCATGGCCATCCTATGGGAAAGTGAAAGGGGAAGTAATAGAGAGTGAAAGCTAGCCAGATTGGCTTCTGCTTTTGTTGGCAACTTGTTGGCCCTGTCAGACGGTTCTGCTCGAAAACTGCCTGGCCTAGGGAAGCTCAAGCCTCAGCTTTTCAGTGGCTAGCCAACCTGCGCTGTTGGCTTGGATTTGGGGCCCAGATTACTGGGACTGGTCTTGAGGTCAGAATACAAAGGACAACATAGCATCCTCAAGGCTCGTTGCCATGGGAAGGATGCCCAGGCCATCAGGAGAACTGGCCTTTAATAAGGGATTCTCTCAGTGGGCTGAAAATATGGTCTGATGGTTGTTTTTTTTCTTTATTGTGGCAGAATATATGTAACATAAAGTTTACCATTTGAAATACGTTCATAATGTTATATAACTATACCACTATGTCCAGAGCTTTTTCATCATCCCAAATGTAAATTCTGTACCCATTAAACAATAACTCCCCATTCCCCTCCCACCCTTGCCCTTGACAACCACCATTCTATTTGACTACTTTAGGTATCTTATATAAGTAGAATCATACAGTATTTGGCTTTTTTTGACTGATTTATTTCACTCAGCATAACATTTTTAAGGTTTATCGATGTTGTAGCATATGTGAAATTTCATTCCTTTTTAAAGCTGGATAATACTCCTTTGTACTATACCACATTTATCTTTTCATTTTGGGTTGCTTCTAAATTTTGGCTGTTGTGAGTAATGAATGTATAAATACCTGTTTGAGTCTCTGTTTTCAGTTCTGTTGGGTATGAACCCAGAAGTGGAATTTTTGGATTATATTAGCAGTTCTGTGTTTAACCTTTGAAGGAACTGCCATGCTGTTTTCCACAGTAGCCGCGTCATTGTACGTTTCCAGCAGCAGTGGACATGGATTCCAGTTTTTCCACATCCTTGTCAACACTTGTTATTTTCTGTTTTGTTGATTATAGCCATCCTATCGGGTGTGAAATGGTATCACACTGTAATTTTGATGTGCATTTCCATAGTGATTAGTGAGTGATGTTGAGCATCTTCTCATATGCCTGTGGCTATTTGTATATCTTTTTTGGAGAAATGTCTGTTCAGGTCCTTTGCCTTTTTTTTTTTTTTTAAGATTTATTTATTTGGGGGGGAGAGAGAGTTCACACTCGTGTGCGCGCACACACACAAGTGGGGGAGGGGCAGAGGGAGAGTATCTTCAAGCAGAGTCCCTGCTGAGCATGGAGCCACAATCCTCGAGATCATGATCTGAGCCAAAACCAGGAGTCCGAGGCTTAACCAACTGACCCACCCAGGTGCCCCTTTGCCCATTTTTTAATTGACTTTTGTTGCTGTTGAGTTATAGGAGTTCTTAATATATTCTGAATATTAACCCCATATCAGATACGGGATTTGCAAATATTTTCTCCCAATTCCAAGGTTGTCTTTTCACTTTCCCAATAATGTCCTTTGATGCACAAAGTTCCTAATTTTGATAAAGTCCAATTTATTTTTTCTTTTGTTCATCCTGCTTTTGGTGTCATACCTAATGAACCATTAGCAAACCTTGGATCCTGAAGATTTTCCCCCATGTTTTCTTCTAGGAAAGTTTTGTATTTTTAGCTCTTATATTTAGGTCTTTGATGCATTCTGAGTTAATTTTTATGTAGGCTATAATGTAGGTGTCTAATACAGTCTTTTGCATGCGAATATCCAACTTTCCCAGTACCATTTGTTGAAATGACTGTCCTTTCCGTATTGAATGGCCTTCCCTATTGAATGACCTTTCCCTATTGACTGTCCTTTCCCTATTGAATGGTCTTTTCCCTATTGAATTGTTGAAAATCATTTGACCATACCTGTGAGAGTTTATTTCGGCACTATTCTATTATATTGGTTTATATGTCTGTCATTATGCCATTGCCCTACTGTTTTGATTACTATAGCTTGTAGTAAGTTCTGAAATCAGAAAGTGTGAATCCTCTGACTTAGTTCTCTTTCAAGATCGTTTTGGCTTTTTGGGACCCCTTGAGAGTCCATATGAATTTTAGAATGGATTTTTCTGTTTGTGCAAAAAACACCATTGAGATTTTGATACGGATTGTACTGAATCTGTAAATAATTTTGGGGAGTGTTGCCATCCTAACAATATTAAGTCTCCCAAACCATGAGCATAGGATGTCTTTCCATTTATTTAAGTCGTTAATTTTTATTTAAATCTTTAATTTTTTTCAGTAGTGTTCTCTAGTTTTCATTGTACAAGTCTTTGGCTCCTTGGTTAAATGTATCCTAAGTACTTTATTCTTTTTGGTGCTGTTGTAAATGAGATTGTTTTCTTAATTTCCTGTTCAGGTTGTACATTGCTAGTATATATAGAAATGCAACTGATATTTGTCTGTTGATTTACAAAATCGAAGTCCTGGAACTTTGCTGAATTTGTTAGTTATTCTAACAGTTTTTTTCATGGACTCTAAACATTTCTGCATATAAAATCGTATCATCTGTGAGCAGAGACAGTTTTATTTCTATTCCAATTTGGATGTCTTTTATTTCTTCTTCTTGCCTAATTGCTCTGGCTAGAACTTTGAGTATCATGTTGGATAGAAGTTGTGAAAGCAGTCATCCTTGTTTTGTTCCTTATCATGGAAAAGCTTTCAGTCTTTCACCATTGAGTGTGACATTCACTGTGGGGTTTTCAAATATGGCCTTTATCATGTTGAGGAAGTTTCCTTCTATTCCTAGTTTGTTGAGTGTTTTTATCATATCACTCTAATATCAAAGAGAGTTGAGTTTTGTCAAATGCTTTTTCTTCATCAATCGAGATGGTCATGTGATCCCCCCCATCCTATTATTGTATTGTGTTAATTAGTTTTTGTATGTTGAACCATTTTTGCATTGCGGGAGTAAATTCCCCCAGGTCCTTGGTCCTTGCTGGATTCAGTTTGTTAGTATTTTGTTGAGGATTTTTGCATCTGTGTTCATGGGGGTTATGAGTTTGTACTTTTCTTGTAGTTTGTATGGCTTTGGAATCAGGGTAATTCTGAACTCATAAAATGAGTTAGGAAGTATTCCCTCCTCTTCAGTTTTTTGGGAGAGTTTGAAAAGAATTGGTATTATTTGTTCTTTAAATGTTTGGTAGAATTAACCAGTAAAACTGTCTGGCTCTGGGCTTTTCTTTGTTGGGAGGGTTTTGATTACTTACTCAGTTTCCTTACTATTTATAGATGTATTCACATTTTTTATTTCTTCATGAGTCAGTTTAGGTACATTGTGTGTTTCTAGGAATTTGCCCATTTCATCTAGATTTTCTAGTTTGTTGGTATATTGATTGCTACTTTAATTGGGTTTAATCTTCACATTTCTGGCTTCAGAAAGCTCTTGGCCATAAACTCATTTCTAAAAAATGTGCAGTCGGAAATCACATGGCTTCTGTCTTGGAATTGAGAGTTCACAGGCCTTTGGGGTTTCCTTTCATTCTTCTTAAGGGAGAGTTATTGTGAAGCCACATTCTTGCTCCATTGGAAGCCTTTTCCTTTCCTGGTGCATCTTTCCTATCCAGGAGCTCCTGATTTTTCTACTTTCTTGAGTCCTTTTCTTGCAAAGGGGAAGTTAGAATTTTTGTTGACTCTTCAGTTTCCAGGCTGTGGTGTCAGTGGGTGGATCAGTGGCAGGTGATGAAGTGTTGTTTGGCTGGGTTCAAAATGGGTTATTGGAGCTGGTAATTCATTCCTTCAGTAGACGTGTACTAGGTACGTCCTGTGCACCAGTCATCAG